CTCACTGCTCTTAGAATTACAGAATTATAAATACTGAAATGGTCTTTCAATGGTCAAATGCTAGACTCCAGAATAATCTTCCTAATATTCAAGATAATAGGGTAAAGCAATTCCGTGTATTAAGATATTAATGTAAATGCTGCAAGAAACAGAAAGAAAAAAAACTATATCAAAATGACAGAAATACACGATTTGGGGTCCATGATATCGAGAAAGTGAGGTTTCAAGAACATCCGTTCGCTCGTCCGTTTGGACAACACAGCGTCTTAGGCGTTAGTGGTGTTCACAAACAGACGGACGGACGTTTTGAAAAATAAAAAACACCTTTTCGGTATCAGAGCACCTCAAAACGTGTATTTTCGTTGAATTCTCGAAATCAATTTTCCTCAACATTACATAACTTTCCCCATATCACGTATATTATTCCTTATATACGTATGAATACGGGAAAGTAAAAATTTAATAAAATTAGTTCTGGGAGAAATTGTGTGTAGATATAGATTGTACGATAGGATATAATAGATCACACGAAGCCTGAAAAACTTAAAAATATTGAGTTAAATATTATCAAAAGTAAAATGTAACTAACTACAAACCTACAAAATAAATTGCATACACAAACAAATTATTTTAAAAAAGAATTGAATATTACATAGACTTAGAATACGCATAGGAAAGAATAGGAACCCGAAATTACTTTTTTCTGATGCAAGGAGAACACTTGCGAGAGCTAAAAACAATGAAGCTCCAGGACAAGAAAGCCTTAGAATGGAACTCTTAAAATATGGAGGTGATAGTTCAAATATCTCAAAACACTTTGAAACAAAATTGATGTTCATGGCGAAAATATACAGGAATGGATGTTCATTTATCAGTTCAAAACACAAAACAGTGACAAAGCCTTCTGTGAAAACTACAAGAAATTACTGTCATCCCATTGTTAGCTAGACAATTTGCTTGTGTTCTAAAGCAAAGTAATGGTTCTACAACAACATGTACTTTCTCGCATTATCTCTAAATTTGCTATATTGAACATTTCGGAGAGTTGAACGAAAATGAAACCTGCGCCAATCTTTAGGTGTCCCTTGTTCTATCCTTGCAAAATTTTTAAAGTAAAAATATGGAGCGGTTTTGGAGATTTTTTTTTCATTTATAAATTGCATTCACTTAAAACAGATATTACGCAAAACTTACTACTTTTCCAAAAGAGTGAATATGGCGACTTTTTTTTAAGATCTAAGAGTTTAGAACAGATTTCACTTACAATAAAAATCTCTATCTTCAATTTTGCACTTTTGCAATGTTAAATACGTGCAATTTTCGAAAATACAGAGAGTTCTCCGGAAATGGGACTTTTATTATACAGCACTTTGATACATTGATATTTAAATAAAAATTAGAGCCGTTTTTTAGAAAATATTTATTTAAAACTTGCCTACATATCACGCAAAATTACGTGTAAACTATTCATATTTTCGAAAAATTGTACAAGATTTTATTTCAAGAATTTTTTTAAAGAAGAGGTTTCCTTTAAAAACAAATTTAAAAATAAAATTGAAAATGTTATGGCTTCATCTGAAGTATCTTCTAAAATCAAAATATTCGTTTCAAACTCCCAGGACCTCAAGTTCCTTTAATCGATCGAGGAAAACCAATTTTGGAGAAAATCTACTGAACGGTTTAGGTGCTGGCGTTGACCACAGACGGACGGACAGCGGACGAGCAGACGGACGGACAGACAGGTAGACAGACAGACGTTTTACAGTCAATCGATTTTTCGGGATCAAGAACTCTCAAAATATGGGTTCTGACTACACAACGTGTTAGAGGAAGAAATTTACTACGATTCGTACATGTAGGAACAAGATTTATCTACTTTTTCGTTACAAGAACCCGGCAATAAGAGTTTTTATTTCGAAAAATTGCCGATTTCCAGTGCACGATTTTAATACTTTCTCTTACGAAGTGAGGTGAGATTATAAAATGAAAATCAGGACGCAAGAAACGGCCTTGAGCTGTACACATCTCATAAAGTGAAGTAAAGTAGTAGTTACGATATAAGTGTCGTAAAGCGCTTAATTGGTAACCAAACTCGGCCTAACGGCCTCGTATGACACTTTCCCAATTTTGTATTGTAATCAGATGTTACGACACGAATATCGTACTTCGTTTTTCCACTTTGTAAAAATTTGTTATCTAATGTGAAATTTCGTTCTAGGTCTTCATTTAGTATCCAGGTTTTTTCTCCTATTAGTGACGCTACTGTTCTCACACTTGGTTACTATTTACTCATTTTCGACATGAGTAAATATAGTTCTGATTCGTAAATAGAAATAGAAATACCAGCAAATGCTGTTATTATAAAACATTGTTACCCAACAAATCAAGAAAGATATATTAATTTTTAAATATTGCTGAAGGGGAAACAACGTTCATCAGAAAGTTTTGATTGATTGCTGTTCTGTCAAGCCAGAGAAGAAGAAACCACGTTGTCCCATGTTAAACAGTACAAAATCACTTATAGACAATATTCATATTAGACATTTTATCCAGTTATTAGTGTTTTAAAGAGGAAAATTGACGAATTCACAGCAAAGAAGTCCAAAATATTCACAAAAGACGAGTGGGAAAGTACGCCCTTACTTTACGGCTCTAGTGTCGTAATGGCGTACGTTACGACACTAGGGCGGTAAAGTACTCCATTACGAAATTGATTATAATGGCATAATGTTAGACTTTACATAACCAAAGTGGATCAAGTTATTTCATTTTCTCGCCTTTAAGGTAAGTAATGAAGTAGAATGAGCTTGGGTAAAACCATAACCAAAAGATTATAAAATGTTGCTCTTCATCGCTACGGACTTGTGTGGCGGATGCAGGGTGAGAGATGGCCAAAATATTTTTTAAAAAATTATATTGCAAAAGATGATTTAGAAATGGCAGGTCCATCTTGACCTGGAAGGTCTTATTTTCGACATATAATGGAGGAGTAAAGATCGGAAAGTGAGAAAACAGAGAAATACGGAGGTCGGAATAGGCAAACTCTCAGGAATAGAAACAGAAGAGGAAGGAAACCAATCCCAATGGTGACTATTTCTTAATATGTTTTAAAAAAGAAAATCATACGGTTTAAACGGATACCCATGTGAAACTGTTCTTGCAGTCTTTTACAAAAGGCTATTAACATGGAAGGTAGTAGGGCGAAAGAATGTGTGACTGTGGTGTGTGATCGGTGGCGAGATTATATTAATTAAAACCACAGAAACTCTACCTAGCGACATGGCGGGTAAGCACTGCCAAAAAGTGCTTCCCTGCTGCCTTGTGGGTAGGTATTAGACCAACGGAAGGAAATCCTTGACAGAAACCATGAGTAGAGACCGCACTGGAAGGTGTAGTGTAGCCAGCCTCTCCAGATGGAACTCTATCCAAATCCTGGTCCCTCAGGTTGGGGGTTGGTCATAAAGATAACAATTCATACTGTCCAACGATCAGTGTTCAGAAACTTAAAAATAATAGCTGTACAGATTAAGAAAGACGATCATGCAATCGGAAAAATGAACGTGACTTATATTTTGGTACATGGAACGTATTATCTTTCAGTAGGACTGTAGTTCTAACTAATTTTTTGGGAGCCTTAAAGAAATGTAGAGTGGATTTATTACTAATGCAAGTAAGATGGAAAGAAGAATTAATAAAATTTTCACTCCAGACACCCGGTTTTGAATGTCCGATTCGGGGCAAACATAGATATCACTCAAACATAGATGGGGCATTATAATATGTAATTTATCCTATCAACTTAGCTTATATTCTACAGTACGGTAATTGTACTGCAGCACTTTGCAACAAGCACTATTGCTTGGAAATGTTTTAAACTAGTTCATTTCATGACCTTAGTTGTTGCACATGCTGCTACTAGCGGCGATGTTAACGAAATAAAATTATTTTATGTCGAAAATGTCAGTACCATGGTATAATGCAACAATTAATTATCTGTATTTTTTCATGAATGTTTTCTCTCATAAGTCGGCAGTTCGGAAGTTCTTACTTCCTTGAGAATGATCGTTTGTCGGCAGCAGAATCAACAACAATGAATTTTACAATAACTTTCTCTTAAGATCTTCCAGTCACTCAATATAGACGCTCGAGAAATGACTGCCGGGAAATGCATTTCGCACACCGTGTTAGAGAAGAGGGACTTTCTTCCAGAACGGTCAACTTTACACAAGAAAGCTGCACTCGTCAAATGCACATTTTAAATCTACAAACCTAAAATGAAAATAAAATAAATTCCCCATACATCATAAACAATGCATTCAATACCGTAAAGAATTGACTGAACCTATGTACCTTCAATAATCCGCAAAATTCATAAAATTATGATGCAGCTAGTTTCAAACGAAGACAGAAAATTGGCATTCCCTTCGGAATACAATGCCGAGTTGGCGTAGACACCCTTCGCTCTGTGGAGCCACCGCTATGCGGTGTAAGCCGGTGGCTGTATCTACGAGAGTTGCGGGGAGAATGCGCTCGGAGCCCAATGTTGAGGCATGAAGACGCATGGTCACCATTATACTAAATAAAAGCGCTTAAGGGCGTGGCATTAGTGCGTTGTATGAGAGAGAATTAGATTCCAAGATCTGATCTCAAAACAATTTCATAAACACATCGATATTGGTGCAATATCTCGAATATTAAATGGCATGGAAAATGTATATTCCTAACATATTATACGATTGTTTTCTATTTTCTGGGTATTGTGCACTTTACAATTAATCAAAATTGAGGAATGAATACCATTAGGAGAGCGATATCATCAACCAATCCCTCATTTATAATTACGTAGACATAGTATATAATATACTATATTAATGATTAATGAATAAATTATCGAGAAAATTTGTCAAAAGTGATACTTTCATGAAAAAAGTATGCAATTTTGGAAACATTTTGCCGTAAGTGAAGATACTAACGTTTATCTTTTCTACAAATATTTCAGGTCTGATTTTGATGTTCCAATTGAAAATGGAGAAGTATCGTGCAACGATCGAATCTTGGCAGCATTTGCTACAATTAAATATATAATTCGTCATAACTGTCATTCCATGGTCATCTTATCTCACTTAGGATCACCGGACGGAAGAAGAGATCCAGAATTTTCGCTAAGACAAGTTGTAGACGAACTTGATAGGTTATTGTCAAGAGAATTTGCCAAGTGAGTTCTTTATCTTTGAAAAGTTATTACATGAATGTTACACGAAAGCCATTGTCGAAAAAATGTTATAGTAATTTTTCTACAATGGTATTAATGTAACTATGTTAAAAAAACAAAGTAATCTTAATAATTTATTTTCTGGGTAGGAAAGTCTTGTTTGTTGACGATATGTATGATGCATACATGGATGGCATGGCTCTCAATCCACCAAGAGGGGTAGTTTTGCTTTTTGAGAATATGCAATATTATATTGAAGAAATAAGGATGACTAACGACAGGAAGGTATGTCTACGAGTCTTTTAAATGAAATCGTTTTAGTATAGCTTTTGCGTTTGTTTATGTTAAAATGTTAAATAATTTTCTTGTATACCAGCATTATAAACGAACTTCGATCGTTCACGAAATGGCATTTTATTGCACATGTTATGACGTATTAACCGCTTATGGCCCATATAAATGCGCCGTCACACATCCAACAAATCACAGCGAACGAATCGTGAGGTGATGGCGGAAAACCGCACAGCTGGCTGAATCGCAACGCGCAAATCGTTGTGTGGTGATAATCCAAACACTCCACCACCGTTTTTTTTCGCACAGAGGTCAAATGCCCGTGACGTTATAATGCATTTTTTCCAAAATTGCATTTGGTTCTCTTATAAATTTATAATGCTGTTATACCAAACAACAACGCATGCAACTCGTTTATAATATTGTTTATTGCATTCTTACAAACTTGAAAACTCGCTTTTGGCGTCACTCTTTTTCGAAACCTCTACTCGTGTAATAAAACTTAACATTGTAAACTAGTTGCATAATTTACTATTATCACACTATATTTGTGGATATTCATTAACATTTTTTGTCAAATCAGAGATATGCTTCTAGAGAAAGTATTATGAGATTTCATCGCCATCTTAAGAGGTACGCTGATGTGTATGTGAATGACACATTCAGATATTCGCACCTTCCCCATGCATCTATTGCGCCATATTTTATTGGACCTCGAGTGGCTGGTTTGGCAATGAGCAGAGAACTTCAATATTTTCACAAAATTGTAGGAAAACCTCAAAGGTAAGTAAATGGAATACCAATGGCGGTACATTAATATCTTAGATTAAGATTTTACGTTCCTTTGCATTTTTGTAATGACCCCCCCCCCCAGATATATAATTATAAATAAATTCTAAGAAAATATATTTCGTATACAAAATTATACAAGAGAAAGTTAAAGTGTGTTAAAATGTATAGTAATTGTCATAGTATTACGGTGAATTGACGTGAATCGTATTTTCAATTGTCTTGGAAATACAAAATTGGACACAATGTTTTAAAATACGCCTTAAGTTCAATTATATCTAAATATAATCGTGTAACCATATTTTAATTACATTTAATATATTTGATTTTTTCTGATTTTTCTGACTCCATTTTCGGTTCAGATTTTTTTGTTGAGTAGAGAAGATAACAGTATAACTACATTAATAACCAACCCTAGTGCAAGCGGGGCACGGCACAAGAGCGGCATATGTGACTTCGAAAGAAGAGATAGTATTGTAATCGTGCAACGGAAAACGGCGAATTTTTGACCGAAAAAAAACTTATTGCTGAGCCCTGGAAAAGAAAAAAATGGAAAAATCTCATTACAAAATATAGTAAATTATTTCCTCTAACACGTTCTGTAGTCAGAATCCATGTGTTGTGGGTTCCTGACACCGAAAAATTGGTTGACGGCAAAACGTTTGTCTCACCGTCCGTGAGCTAGTCCGTCTGTGCGTCTGTCCGTCCGCTAGTGCCTTAGCCGGTCAACCGATTTTCTCCAAAAATGATATTTTTCCATTGATTAAAATTAACTCGAGGTCCTCTGAGTTTGAAACGGATATTTTGGATTTTTTGGGTGTACTTTTCATGAAGGCCAAGCAACATTTTCAAACTGTTCTCAAAAATGGTAACAGATGTTTGATTAAAAGTTGTCCTCAGATAGCCAAAAGATCGCTTAAGAGAATGGTGCGGGTCTTCTTTTCTTTAAAATTAGTGACATTTCGAAAAATTCAAAAAATATTTTTTTAGGTATTTTTCTACAAATGCAAAATTGAAGATAGGGATATTTTCCTGAATGAAATACACTCTCTAAGGACTAGTGTTAAAATAAAATCATGTACAATTTTTCGAAAATTGAAGTTTCCGCATTATTTTGCATGAAATTTATTTTTATGTTTTGTATATATCAAAGGTTGGTTAAAGATGTCTCATTTCCGGAGAATCTTCTGTATTTTAGAACATTACTTGAAGTTAACATTTCAAAACTAGGAAGTTGATGACGATATAGATTTTTGCCTTCAACATCTGTTTTAAAGAGTCAGTTCTAAAAAAAGGTCATGTACAATGATTTGAAAAAAAAAGTTTTTGCAAAATATGTGTTTGAAAATTTTGCAAAAATATAACATATTCTCAAAAACAGTTCCAATTGTTTTCTTTAAATATTATTGTCGTATGTATCAAAGAACGTTAAAAAAGTAGTGTTAGTCTCATCAGCGAACATTTAAAATTAAATATAGAGATTTTTGCCTTAAACAAAATCTGTTTTAAAAAATCAGTTTAAAAAAGGGTTTTGTACATTCATTTGAAAAAACGAATTATTATGAATTATTTTACACTACCTTTCTGACTTCATGGGATGCGGGAAAATATAAGATATAAGACGCATGTATTACAAAAAGAGAAGATTCGCATATTTTGGATTCATATTTTGGGTTACAATACGTCCTCGTTTCCCCAGACTTGTCGTCTTGATGAAAGAAAAATTGTCCGGGTGGATTTTACAAGAAAGGACGATATGTCCTCTTTTTTATTGGAAGCGGATATTACTTTTAAATGCAACCCAGACGTATGATGTGCGAAAGATACTGCATTTTTTAACTTATTCGTGCCCCTGACGCCATAACATATCTCTCCTAAGAACCGCCAAAATCCATAGATCATCTGTATTTCTAGATATGTCATTTACTCCATGAAATGCGACAGTGCTGCCCTTAGCTGGAATCAACTTCAAAGAGGTTATAATTTATGGAGGTTGCATGGCCGACCATTTCCATTGCGGAAAATGAAGCTAGCCCCTTGCAAAACCAGTTAGGCTACCCGCTAAACAGTTTGCCCCAATAACCTGAAATCCACCTTTCCACCTTTGTATTTTCTTGATTCAAATATTGATATTTACGTAAACAAGATGTTTTATATACATAATTATGTGTAATCAATAGGCTGAAATATTCAGAGAATATAGCAAAACAGACCTGGAAAAAATATTAATCCTCCCCAAAATTCATGAAGTGTCAGAGGAAATATGTTTAAAAATTGTTTCATTTATTGTGTGAAGCTGAATAAAATTTAATTTAGGGCTTGATGAAGTGTATTCTTGAAACATAATTGTGCAAGGAGCATTCGAAATGTGTAGCATTGAATATACAAGGAGATAAAAGCAATGTAACATAAATTGACTTATTCTGAATACTGCTAATCATGTTCTAAATTTGTACTTTCTAGTCCATACTTTCACACAAAATTACGCGAAAAGTACTCAAATTTTCGAAAAATTGTACACGACCTTATTTCAAAATCTATCTATAATTAACAGATTTCAGTTATGAAAAAATCTGTCATCAATATTTAGTTTTAGGAAGACTTCGAAAAAGTTTGAACTTTTGAAATTTTCGAAAAATTAGGCACCATTCTCTTAAACACCCTTCACACTATCCAACAACGAAATTTAATAAAAAACGATGGAGCCCTTGTTTTTGTTGTTGAAAATTTTGAGAAAGTCCAAGGGGCTTCATGCGAAGTACCCTCAAAAATCAAAATATCGGTTTCAAATTCAAGGAACCGCGACTTCAGGCAGATCAATTACGGAATATCTCTTTTGGTGAAAATAGGATGAACGGTTTAGCCGCTAGCGTTGTTCACAGACGGAGAGATACGTTTTGCCGTCATTGGATTTTTCGGTTTCAAGGACACATAAAACGAGGATTCTGGCTACACCACGTGTTAGAGGATTTTTACTTCTAAATTTAGCAACCTTTTTATCTACCTTTTCGTTACCAGGGCCCTGTAATATGAGTTTTCTGCCGAAATTTCGCCGTTATTTCGCACAGCATTACATAACTTTCTCTCTACTCCGTAGCGAGAAAGTAAAACAGAAAAATATAACATACAACACCTCAATTATATCATAGGGCCACCGGAGCTTCAAAAATCGTGTAAAAGTCGCGCAAAACTGAGGATGAGTCTGCCAGAAACTGTCTTTCAAGCAGCCCCACGAGACTCAGTATTGAGATATACTAACAGTGAGGGAAGTGAAATCAACTATGCCCATACTTTGCTGCAAGCAGCAGGGACTGGCATTTTCCTAGGGAGGGAAATGGAATCGCATCAGAGCATGGCGGAAACATTTCGCAAGTTACTCACGCACCAGCAATGGGTTATATTGGTCATGTAATTGAATGAAATACTATTTCGCATATTTTATTTTAATAGCAAAGAGAAATGAATTAATTCTGACAAGGATTCTGACAAGGACTGAGGGGGCTGCAGTCTCGCAGCTCACCCCCACCAGCAGTAACTGTTCGTCCCACACAGTTTTTAACTGTTTTTGACGTAAATAAATAAGACAATACCAGCTTTCCCAATTTTTCTCTACGGGATTTGTTTCGTCCAGTATTTACATCTTTTGTTGGGTTTCCTTCATATAAACGTGTTTCTTCTTGTCAGGATTTTCATTATTCTTTTTCTTTGCCGGCTGATCCACTTTATTATTTTGTCTGAAGTGGATGGATTGATTTGAACGTCAACTGATGTATGAGTTGAAAATACATCCTTTTTTAAAACAATAGTGCGAGAGATTATTGCTGGAGAATGAAGTTAATATGGCTGGTGTAAATAAGTGCTGGTAATATGCCTATCACCCTAGGCCATATTGACGGCACGTTATAATCTCTCCCCCACGTTGGTAAAATATTGAGCAAATTTCACGACATTAATCTGATTAGATTCCTCAATAATGCTCTAAACGTTGATGTATATTGTCAAAATACTAAATACTTCTTTAACTAATGATACAATTACCTCGAAAGATGTTATAAGGGCAGAGCGCCTTCATCACGTTCTTCACAATGGAGGCTCCAGAGTGCGAATGCGCGAATCAACAAGAATGTAGGGTGTTAACACACGTCTTACGCTCTCCTAGACAGCATGCTAGTAATATCTACGGTAAACATTTTCAGCTAACAACATAGTCGCCACTTGGCCTTATTACCTGCCACAAACGTCATTAGCATTGGCTATATTTACATCACTTACGTTATATTATTGTTACAATGGATATTATTGTTCCCCTTGATTATAAGCTCTAATTGTATACAAACAGTTATGCAGCACAAAAAAGTTATATTGAACTTAAATTCGTGTATCGATTTTAAATGCATGATGTAATTTGATAATGTGATGCAACATAATGTACATTTATTACTTGTGGATTTCTTGTAGTGAGCTAGTGATGTTGACATCCGATGAATGTGAGTTCTGCGTGTGTTATAATTCAAAATACAGTGAAACCTCTCGACAAGACCACCTCTTGAAGAAGACTACCTCTTTTCTATACAAGTGTTGTATGGACCGGAATAATTATTCCATAAGACCAATGAATTTTTACCCCCTTAAAGACGACCACTCATCTTCTCAACCAACAATCACGAATGTTTGTCGTAATGCAACATCGCATTCCCTCTAAGACGACCATAAAACCTCGCACTGACATAAGAAATCCGAGAGTTCGCGTTGCCACTGTAAGTCAAGCAGTTTCCGGTGTCATTCACATAAGCAACAGCGAATGGGCACATGAGATTTCACTGAACTTATTTCAATGAGGTAACTCTGAAGGGGAGACCTTCCCGGAAAAGTAGAAAGTAGTAGAAATCGCGATATAAATTGGAAAGACAAATTCACACAAGCAAAATAATACTCCTGTATTATGTTAATCAGGATAACTTATATAAAAAAGCGTTACGTGAAGAAGAGCAATTCTTAAAGTACACACACACACGGAGGTTCGTGATAATTGAGACTTTTGAAACTGAAAGAAACATTATTTTTTATTCCACATAAGAAAGACTTTTAGAATATAGTTAAAAACTGAAAGTAAAATTTGGAAATCAGCCAAACATAATTGAGATTAAAGAATGGATAGGAGACGGGTAGTATTAATTAGGAATGGAGGAAATCTTATGGAAACATTTTGAAAAGTAACATGACGACTGTGGAGAAGAAGAGCAATTAGAAGGTACAATCGCATAAAAAATGTGAGAACATGAGTGTATGTGTATGTGGGCACGCGATGACAACGTTAAAAATGATATCTCAACTGTGCAGTTGCGTGATTTGTGAATTGTGTAAAATACGTACATTTTTAGTAATTACACACACTATTTTTATTTGATTTTCTTTCAGACCTATCATTGCCATCCTTGCTGGCAACAGGATAGTCGATAAGCTTAGAATGATGAGTTACTTGCTAGAAAGAATTGATGAGCTAATAATTGGTGGTGCAGTAGCGTACACTTTCCTGAAAGAAACTGCTGGTATGGAAGTAAGTGAAACAATGTTCACGTATTTGGTATCTTATTTTTGTTGATAATATTTTTGTAAACTAATAAATGTTTTTGCAGATTGGAGATACTCTTTACGTTAAAAATGCTGGTGAAATTGTGAATGGCATACTAGGTAAAGCAGACGATTATGCCGTGAAGGTGCACTTACCTGAAGACTTTATAATGGGAGATATAAACGACCCAGAAAGTGCTGAAACCGTTACCGTGGAGAAAGGAATACCAAAGGGGAAAATGGGCTTAGATATAGCCACCCTATCAACGTACCTGTTCGCCGATATCATTCAAAGAGCCAAAACGATTTTATGGAATGGGTATGATAGTTCCATATCTGATTACTAATTTTTCAATACGCGCAGAAATTGAAAGAAAATATGTAGCTTCGGTCATGGGAGATGTGTCCTTTTTTTGTTAGATACACAGGAACTCGAGGAAAATAAAACTAGAGATGCTACAACAGTAAATGTTTTGAATTTTTAAAAAAAAACAGAGTTCGCCAGAAATAAGACTAACACCACATTTTTACCGTCCTTTGAAACATACGAGTAGGAAATTTACAGAAATTATGTTGAGCCATTTTTGAAAAAGAAATTGTTAAAATTATTTTTTTAAATAAATTGCCAACATTGCACACATCGTTACGCGCAAAATACTATTTTCGAAAAAAATGTACATGACCCTATTCTTTAAAGAACAGATTTCATTATGAAAAATCTTTTATCCTCAATACTGTACAAGAAAGAAGACAAAAAAAATTGCAATTGTCTTTTGCAATTTTTGAAAATTCAGAAATTTTAACGAATATGAAACTAGCTCCATTCTCTTCACTTCGTCGTTTCCGCTATCCAAGGATAAAGTTAAATAAAAAAATGGAGCCATTTCTTTTAAAAAATTGAATTTTTAATTTTGAAAAGAATGAAAAAGTTGTCGAGGCTTCATGTAAAATGTCCCCAGAATCAAAATATGTTTCGAACTCAGAGGTCCTCGACTTCATTTAAATCGATAGGGAAATATCAATTTTGGTGAAAATCCGCTGAACTGTTTAGGCGTTAGTGTTGGCCATAGACGGACGCACAGACGTTTTCTCATCAATCGATTTTTCGGTTTCCAGAACCCACAAAAAACCTATTTCCACTATACAATGTGTTAGAGGAAGAAAGTTACAATGTATAGGAATACGATTTGTCCACTTTTTCGTTACCAGAGCCAGGTTACCAGGTTTCGTTACCAGGGTCGTAGTTACAAAAAAATTGTCAAAATTGCTATCAAATTACGCCTAAGTGGCGCGCATAACGAAAAATGGTGGAAGAAACTAAACTGTAGTAAATTTTATGTTCAATATTTTGGCAAAAATACTTTCTTGCTTAAATTCGATAGTTTTTAGATGTAGGGAAACTAGTGATGCTACAGAATGGTACAGACTCTCGTATTCGTTTTTTTTTTGTCTGGGTTAGCTATTCTGACTTGCCCCATCCTCTTGCAAGCTGCAACTATTGCCGCCCAAACTACTTTTAAAACAATCAATTTTTTTGGTTTTCTAGTAGTAGAACTCAATTATTACTTTGAGAATATTAAAGAAGAGTAAACCCTCGTCCTAAATGGCAATTTTCATTCAAAAATTTAGAGCTGTTTTTAAGAAAATGGTGTTTAAACGTTATTGTGAATGCGAAATTTGAACGTCTTTTCACAGAAAACTATTGAGTTTCCGAAAAACTTCATATGAAGTCATTTAAACCACTTCCAGTTCCAAATGCAATTGTGTTTACAAATTGCTGGAAATGTGAATATTAAAGGTGTGAAAGATATGTAAAAAAACTACATTTGTGTAACGTTTTAAGAAAAAACATGAAAAGAAAGCAGCAAAGAATACAGCAAAATTAATTTTATGTCATCTTAAACAGTGCAATTAGCCCTATCCGATGAAAAAGTTCAAAGACAAAATTTGAAGCTATATTTGTGAAAATAGCGTTTGAGTGTTTCTGAGAATTCGGAAATTTAAAATCATTTCAACCGAAAACTATTGAGTTTTCGAGAAAATTTATATAACGTTATTTAAAGCATATGTACTTATAAATACATTAATGTAAACAAATCGCCGTTAATGTAAATATTAATGAAGTGAGAGACAAGTCAATTTTTTGTGTATTTTTTGGAAAAACAAAAGAATAGAGAAATATGGCTTTTACGTCTTCTTATAGAGTGCATTTAGCACTATCCCTACCAAAATTTTAAAGAAAAAATTTGGAGCAGTTTTTGAAAATATATTGTATTTGTATTTTTTAAACTGCAAATATTAGACACAATACTGCGCGAAAATACTAAAAGTTTCAAAAAAGTACACGATCTTCATGAAATAACTAATTATGGACAACAAATTTTATTTCAAGGAAAATTCTGTTTTCAATTTTGTAGTTGTAGGAAGACGTCGAAAAAATTTTATACTTTTGCCATTTGAGCCATTTTTGAGAAAATTTTGTAAATGTTTATGGTGCTTCATGTAAAGTACCCCTCCCCAAATTAATAAATGTTTCTCAAAATCGCAGAGCTTTGACTCAGGCCGAATGGCCAGGAAAAAATCCTTCGCCTAGTATAGGCGCTAGTGTTATTCACTTACACCAGACAGACGGACGTTTTGCCGTCAATCGATTTTTTGGTACCAAGGACCCACAAAACAGGGATTCTGGCTACATCACGTGTTAGAGGATTTTTTCCTTAATTTGGCAACTGGATTTATCGTTTTCTTCGTTACCAGGGTTCAGGGCATTATTTTTTTCTATAGAAAATCCTCCGTGTTTTTCGGGCGGCATTACATAACTTTCTCTAGACTGCGCATATTACTCCATATATACGTACGTATAAGAGAAAGTAAAATCATAAGAAACGTTATTTTACATGTTTTACTTTCTCACTACGGAGTAGAGAGAAAGCTATGTAATTCTGCGCGAAATACCGGCGAATTTTCGGCAAAAAAGTCGTATTATAGGGCTCTAGTAACGAGAAAGTAGGTAAATTCAGTTGCTAATTTTTTTAAAAAATATTCTCTAACAGGTGGTATAGCTAGAATCCGTGTTACATGGGTCCTTGATACCGATGAATCGAATGACGGAAAATCGTCTATCTGTCCCGTCCGGCTGTGAACAACACTAAATGTTAAAACCGTTCAGCCGATTTTCTCCATAATTGATATTCCTCAATCGATTGGCTGATGTCGCGGTCCCTTGGATTTGAAACCGGTATTTCAGTTTTTGGGGGTACTTTATATGAAGCCCTCAGGCCATATTCCAGATTTATTATTCCTACAACTAAAATATTAAAGATCGATTTTTTTTCCTTTAATTAAATCTGTTTCCTGAAGATATATTTCGAAATAAGGTCATACACAATTTTTCAAAAATTTTAGTACATTTCGCGTAATTTTGCGTCAAAATACGGCCGAAAAATTACGTGTTTTTTTAGCACCACTAGTTTTTTGTTATAACGCAAATTCCACCGGGAATATTTTTAGTAAATTTCAGATTCGTATTCAGCACCCAAAAACACATAAAAACACACATAAAAATCCAAACTACATAACAAAATGTTTAGAACCGTTTTTTAGAGCGTTATGACTGGACTAATGGTCGTTTGCTTTGCCTCTGGACGTAACTGTAGCTTCCCTGACTGCACTCTTTGTTGAGCTCTCCATTTGTTAGTTATGGAATGAGTTTAATCGGGAGTATGAGTTACTGTTTTGTTAGCAATACTAAAATTTAAAACCTTTAGTTCGTTACCGATTCAAATAGGTTTTCTATAATTCTGGAGCGAAATGATCTAATTTTAAAATGTTGCTAATCTCGCTTTGTTGGTACATTTATTCACCATGCAACAACTTAAGGTTAAAAGTTGGGGAGAGATTCCGGATCTCAAGAAAACGTGCGTGGATTGTACTTCTCGTCCATACGTCACAAACAGTTTTTACTGCTCTTTGACAAAATAAATTAAATGAAATGACTAGGCTCTCACAAACTGTTTTTAAATTGCTAGACAAACATTATTTTCAAGAGCAGAGTCCTTAATTTCAATGTCAGTAAAAGTATTGATTTTTCTTTACGATTACTTAGAGATAAAATGTAATTAGTTACCTTCTAATTCTTCAATCAACAAAAAGAAAGAGGTAGAATGATGCTATCGCTCGTTGCCCCCTACGACTAGCAAACATTTAAATAGTTAAACTTTGTTCAATTTAAAAATATAATTTTTATCAGACCCTGGCCACAAAGTTAAGTAGAGTTTGATCTTTCATAGAATACATAATCTATAACTAGGGGGTGCTTACCTCCATTATCGTGCTGAAGCCATAAACTTCGTATGATCCAGACAAAATCTTGGAAGTTCCACGCAAAATGAGAAAGCAATAAAACTCCAATTTTGGCATCAGACACAATCCCAATGTTTTCAGGAAAGTAAACAAGGGCAACAATAATAATTGATAGGAACAAAACAAATACATAAAATCCAATCCGATTAATATTGAATGTTTGTATACTACCAAAATCGAGAGAAATTCTGTCTAATTTCTGATAAATATAAAATTAATATTGAAACGCTGATATTTTATGTACTTTTCGTAGAATTCGATTCGTATATTAAATAACTATCTCCTACACTCACTGTGTTACAAACACGCGCACAGTTATCTTCTCTCTGCAAACTGCTCCGGGCGAGAATCATTCAGAAAACCATAGAGACAACTTTTCCGACAAAATGCAAATATACTTGATAAATATAGGATAATGTCATTTCCTTTTCCTTTCCAACAGACAGAGAGCAAACACAGAGGAAATGATACAAGACGCTCAATCTATGACCGCACGCGGCACCCTGGGGGTCCCCCATACCAGGATCTTCCTTGGCTGTGCCAAGGGATAGTGGTCAAAAGCAAGGAATATAAAGTAGAGGCGTTACTACATTTGATAGAGTAAATGTCACATCAGAAAAAATAGAATTAATTTTTCCACTGATGATTGCGTTAACCCATTAGTACATGAAGTTTCCTGGAAATGTTTGTTGTTGTTTTTTTTACATATTTTCAATAATTTTGTACTTGTTTATAAGTAAATAACATTATCTGTAATTAAATAATTTTATTACCACACATTTGCAAAATATGTGACTTCCGAACAAGCAATAGCATTTGCGCATTCTTCAGTATTTCTCGTTATTTATTAGGGATGAACTAGTAAGAGATTTAAATAAAAAAAATTGTAAGAGACATCGTTCTTTATTTTTATATTGATTCAAATATTACTAATAAACAAAATGTTTTAGAAAGAATTTATTCTATGAAACATTTGGAATGTAGCATAACATTTTTTACACATCTATGTTGTCTTTCCTGCGCATTGTATACATTTTTCTGTTGAAATTTTGCCTCATTTCTTACATCCAAATTAGGATTTCGTCTTTTTCTCCGCGTCCTGAGGGTGTGCTATTGCTTTTCAACAGGCTAAGACAACATTTAAACGGACTTTTCACAAATTTTGCGATTTCTCAGTGGTTGGCACAGTTTTTCGCATTAGGTGAATCGGCTGTCAAATATGTACTATTTCTTTTGATGCAACCACATTCTGTATGAAGCGACTAATTGATCGAGAATATCCATACCGCAAATGCCTTTATTGTAGGAAGTTTCGAATGCGACAGACTGTAAAAACAATATTTTGTCTCTTCTTTCTCCCTTCATCTAGAACAAATTACAGCTTTTCTGACTCATGATTTGTTTCAATGCTTACCACATTATTGTCCTTCCAGCGTACAATAAGTGCTTTATGGGAGTATCGAAAATCATTTGAAACCCTTATAATATTTTGCATTATATCTGCTCTTTGTGGTAAAAGGGCAATTCTCTGATCTTGATTCCTGAGTAGTACCTGTGGCACAGAATCCTTCATTTGCCAAGTGTCTTATCGACGTGTCGACCGACTGACATTTTACGGAATAGTATTTTTCAGAATCTGACTCCTTTGTATAGAAAAGTGTATGGGTCAGCAAAGAAATGTCATTTTCCTTTCTTTTAGTTTCTGGTAAAGCACATATTGCGATATTATCTTACGGTTCTTCCAATTATTTTTTATCTTCTTGTAACCATCATCGCCATTCTAGCATCATACTGCTGAACACTTCTTTGTCAATTCTGCCTTCTACCATATCACGCTTTCTCTTCGTAATTTCCATTTCGTAATCTCTCCTCATGGGTATTCTTCACGGACATCCGAACGAGGGAATATTGTACGTCCGGAATATTTTATTCCATCTAGTGCATTACATTAAAGATCAAGGAATATATATATATATATATATATATATATATATATATATATATATTCTTTTTATTATCTAAGATACAATAAAAGTGGTATGTGGATCAAACGGTACAACTCATTCAACGAGTGAACTACGAAGTTTTAATAATATCAAGTAAATAAGCAATTTATTAATAATGCGACACAGTATAAATAAAACTGTCAATGATAGTACTATAATTTGCAGGATTAAATTATTGCGACGACTACTACTAACTACTACTATATGTGATTACAGGACAATGGGAGTCATAGAAGCAGAGGAATATTGCAGTGGAACCATGGGTATCATGTATGCAGTATCATATGCTTCAAAACATGGTGCGACCAGTATTGTTGTTGGTGAAGATACCTCCATGTTTTGTCAGCGAAATAAGTGCCTTCATAACATCTCTCATACCAGTATGGGCAGAGCTGGTGAAGAACTACTAATGGGTATGTTTAAAGTGTATTTCAGTTAATGTGGGCAAAAACTATAGTTGTTAGTGCAGTTCTATAGCAGACTAAAATGAGATGTCACTCTAAACCTACAAGAAACTGTCTAATCAAACAAAAAATTCATAACTTTTGGCATTCTAGCTGGTATTTTTACTTAATATTCTACGAAGTTACTGCTTACAATATACATTGTCACATCTAACTGATTTTCTGTCAATTGTATCAACCTTTCAGCAACGGCATTTGCGATAGACTTGTCAAAAATATTTTTTCTCCTACACGTCGAAGTTCATATTATATTCCCCTACCCACATACTATTATATTATATCGCATATGTAAAGTCAAAAGGATTTAGGTTATATCGCACCTTGAATTACTGCTTTACTTGTAAGAATGATTATTTTGCTCTACCTTCTATCCATATGACCTGTCGGGGATATTTAATACTTTTTATGATATCTAGAAGCGTTAGATGAATTTGTTTCATTCCCTTCGCACTTAATGCTAATCACTTATGGTAAATATTGCACAAAAACATAATGGTTTCTTTAGCATCTTAAATTACCAAACATAAAACGAAAACCGGTTCAAAAATGTCCAATTGTATTATTACTATGCGTACTTTATGATTACTATGAACCGATAAAGCTGATAACAATCATTTTTTAAAATAAAACATTTAAAGTTTTACAATGAAGAATTCTAAGTGCTTGTTTTAAAAGTCTGCATATGCTCGTCCAGGTTCAAATAATATACAAATGTCTCAGAATAAGAGTTACAAACTTCTAGAACACGTGGGGGTGTCGAAGATAATACTATTTTGTCTACTCCCATTGCTTATACGCAACACGTTTGCATAATTCTACTCATTACAATACTGATTTCGTTATGATAAAAGGTTCTTGACCAATCACAGAGTTTACAAACCAAGTATTGATAATTAATCATTCAGAATAGTAGTAGTAAATGATATTCGAGTTAGAATATGATAAATATAATAATATATATTAATAATATATGGATAGTTAGTAATAAACTATTTTTTGGTCAAGAATTTTTGTGGTATAAAAGGTACTAGTATGTCAATTAAAAATATTAATATTATTTCTAAAAGAACCAATTCAGTTATTCAATAAATGAATCATAACCTCTGAATTTTCTTTCTCTTACAGGAAGGATGCTACCAGGTGTTCAAGCACTGAGGACTAAAACTAGATGCAAATGTCGCTTTAAGTAAGATTACACTGCATCAGAAACAAAAAGTGACTAAGGAATTAAAGTACATCTCACATGTTGAACGATACGTAGACGTTCCATTAACATGTAAACCTGTGCAAGAATTTATTTGTAAATGCATTACAAACATGTGGCAATAAATTAATGAGTAGATTAAATAAATATATTTCTCTTAATCTTAAGATTAAGACATTATATAGCACAAATTACGGCTACAACATCGTCAATCATGAAGATCAGCACCATTAAAAAAGAAAAAACTACACCTTAAACATTATTATTATTATTATTATTATTATTATTATTATTATTATACATCATGAAAAACGTTATGAATCGGCTGAATATAAAACCAGCTACCTAAGCGACATATCTAGGGACTGCCATATAGATAACTTTGGACTTTACTGGCAGACAAGTAATTGGCCTGTAGTTCTTCTCCAAAGAGGTCTCCCGCAGTGTAGCACATACGTGATGTCGTGTGTGAGCTATTCCGGGGGTTCCTTTGGGTTTTATAAAATTTCATCAAGAGCCTTTGTTAGATGATAATGTAATGCTGTTATTTTTTAATCTATTAATTCTTATCAATCCTGGAAAATTTCCAGTTTTCCATATTATTAATTTCTTGGAAGAAGTCCTCTTCCGAGAATTCATGAACATGTTCAACTGTTTCCTCAAGTTCATCGGCAGCATCAACTTCTCTACGTTTGTTATCGGAAATCTATTCTACGTTTGTAACATCTAATGCGTTGAACCCATGCATGGATTTTCTCTTTCTGCTTTTCAGCCACCATTAATGGACTCAAGTCATTTTCAATTGTTGAACGGAAGATATGTGCGTTGGTTTAGAAGATGCCTCTGCTAAATGTGATCTTTCACACCGAATGTTGGCTATCCGTTTCATAATTCTTTTCGTCCATGTTGGTAAGGGGCGTTTATTTGTATGGCTTTCAGGAGTCAGTTGTCTTGGCTGGCTCAAAAATTATCTGCCATACGAGAGATACAGTTGCATACATGATGTGATTGATTTATGTAATATCTAGATCTTTACTTGAGATATATTCCACCTCATTTAAGACGCTGTCTCTATCACTCTCTTAGCTTTAGTATTTTCGTATACTCTCCTCAACGGTGCACGAGATTCGAATAAAAGTTGATGAACTCATTATATCTCATTCGAAAGACATTTCACCATGTTCTTATCATGTGAATCATTTCCTGTTGTATTTTTACCACTAACATATTTCATTGGAACGTCGATAAACAGAACTATCATTATCAAGTTCTACATGTTTATGTGGGTAGTTCGATCGAACAACATACTCTGCAGTTCCCTGAATCCTAGCAAGTTGTTCTGCTGTGAATTTTACACTGCTGAGTATGTATCGCCGTTGACTGGCAAGCTTCTTTGAATGTAGGGTAGGTCTCATATCTCTGTTCTGCTCACTCCATATCTTGAAAACTTCTATTTCCGAGGCCCCATTTTTCGCTTTTGCATAGTAAAAGTACCACAGCACCTCCTTCAATTCATCCCGTGTCCATCTTTGACGTTGGCTACAAACAACGGCTGACTCTGGGGTCCCTAGGACTAACATCTGTGGGATGGCCGGACGTCGACAAGGTGACATTTGCGCGGTATCTGAGCAATGTCTCGGACACTAGTAGAACATTCATTACATTTCTTGTTTTATCCATTTTGCTAAATGGTTGTAAGGGACGTTTCGCAGGAAGCAAATTCGAGTTCACAGATCACACTTAATCCATGGATTACTTCCTGTCATCCGTTACTGCGACCCACAGTGGCCTCAGAACATCCCCTGCAGGGCCCATCAATCCCTCCGATCGCGAGTCGGCATTACTAAAGCCTAAGGGATTTTCACTGACTGATGAAGGTAGCCTCCTTGATGGCTAATGCAAGATTCGGGCCTCCACTCTAATCAGTGGCCTGGATTACGAACTCAGTTTCTCTTTTATACCCTCCATGGGCCGAACACAGGAAATCCAAAAGTTCATGAGCCTTCCCTCTCGACCATGGAGACAGCCGCTGCAGCCGCCCGCTGCAGATTAGATGTGGTTTTGTTCTTCGCAGATGCCGCTGAGGCTCTCCTCTGGAGTACTTCTTCGTCTGCTCCCTCACATTCAACCTATTAAGCAAGTGAGGCACAACCAGTACCTGACATAGCTCTCAGGCTCTTGGAGGTATTCAAGCTCCACCACCAACTTCAAGGTCGTGTACTCTCTAGGTGGAGTTGTTAATATTATTATTCCTCTTCTTCACGACTTAAGATATTATGAGTCGGTTGAATATAAAATATACTCCGGCCAGCAACCTAGCAACCAGCTTCCTAAAGAGTAGAACTAGGAAGTGTCTGTGCCTCTACAATACTTTGCGCAAAATGTGGGCTGTTCCCAATAGAGCTCTTGTATTTCCCAACCTTTGAATTACTTGGGATTTTAGCCAAGTTCTTACACAAATTTGGGGGGAACAAATACCAAAGCTCCGATAACTATCGGGACTATGGGCCTATAGGACTATTTACGCCCCCCGGTTACACCCATTCGGCTGATCTCGATTTCTAAACACTGGTATTTAAGACGTTTCACTGCCTCTTTGGTTACATTTTGATCGCACGGCACAGCAATATCTACAAGCATTACGTCCAAATTCCGGATAGCAATATCCAGTTTGTTTGTCGTTATCGTGGGATCAGTTTGAATTTGTTGGTCGTACAATATTGTACACAGTCCAACAAATTCACTGGTTTTTGTGAGCGTTCGTACAAATTGGAGCATGTGTTTGGACATTAGAGGGCGTTACAGATCTGCCAGTATTATTATATTTACAGCCCTTATTATTATACTAAAAATGATATTTGACTGTTCAACGAATTACATTGTGTCACAGTGTCCCAGCCGTGAACCGAACCGATACTCTCAACCGAAACGTCAACTTTTGAAACAACCTTGAAGATAAGGATCTATTGTGACGGTTACATGATTGAGAAATGTAAAATAAAATTACTACATTTGAATTAAATTATTCATTTTTTATAATCCTGATAGTAACCGTTAAAAGTCGAAAAGTTCAAAAGTTCACAAAAATAGAAAAGATCACAAAAAATCAATAGTTTCATTTACATGAGATGTAATATAAAAATAGAGCAACAGACATTTCTTTTGTATCCTGTTCTGTCTTAATCTCAGAATTCCTAGCATGACAGTTCAGCTAGTTACACTTATAGAGACAAGCCCTTGACTTCACTAAATTAATAAAGGTTTTCACCAATACTGAAATAAGATACTTAGTTCGTTATTTCGGATTATTTCGGCTGTCACTTGATGGACGAAACATTCGAGAAGTCAAGTCGACATATGACTCATGCAATATTATAGTGTCCAGAGAAGGAATGTTTTCTAAGAAGATTGAGACATTTTAGACATTCATTCAGTTTAATTCACTTTTATCAACTGTTATTTACATAATTATACAAAAACTATTCACAATACCTGTAACCTTCTTACCTGTAAACAGAGAAACGACAATTCCAGCTTGCTACTACCGCTTCTCTATTTACACCACTTATTTCAATTACAATATATCTTTCTCAAAAATTTTCTATCTGTAATCGTGACTATCTAAATTTCGTTTAAGGCGTAGCGGTCTTAAGCGTAGCGGTCTTTAGTCGAGTCAGGTGTTAAGCGTGGGAAGCACGGCATATTCAAATTGAATAAAATATATTTTCTTTACACACACACACACACACACACACACACATATATTACATAATATATATATACTATATATATATATATATATATTGCATATATATTATTGTTTGCGCACCCGTACCGCCGGAAACGGTACTTGCACGACAATAAAAATAATCTAAAGGACGGGTACATTTTCTGTGAATGGGTCCTCCAGGGGAAATTGACGCTGCATTGGAAGGAATATTCAAAACAATTCATTTATGCAATTGGGAGTTAAATAATAACAACACTATATACATAAGTTTTTTTACAATTCGCAGTGCGCAAGGCCTTTTAAATAGCTTCGTGCAAGTAATGCTACCTTTGAAGCTTCCGATGTCCACCGGATGACTGGATGGCGAGCTTGCCGCCGTGGCAACGGCGGCGCGCGACGGCAACTCCGCTCCCGCTCCCGAATTGTCCCGGAAGCCGAATTTCGGCCGGTTGGTTCCGGTTACTGGCCCCAGCACTCAGCGGCGTCCCGCCCGGCAGCCCGATTACAGCCGTTCTCTCCAATCCCCCATACGATTGTTCGCACGGGGTGCGGCCCGCCTGCTGCATTACATCCAGCGGACATGGAAGCCATGTCTTATCGATCACTTAAATTCCCTGTTAATGTTTTCACGCAATTCGGTCCTGGTTCGCACTACTGTTTCTTCTAATTTTATCTGATAATTTATTTAGCACCTCTAATCTCCCACTCCAATAACCATAATCAGTTCCAACACTGTTGGTAATTTCACCACAATTTTTCTGGGGCATCACAGCCCATCCGCATTTGCGCCCGCGCTTCTCCCGTCTATATTCTTCACCGCACTAGCGCGGCCCCCTTCTCGCAATATTACCACCCAGGCACTCGTGGCGCCAGTTCGTTACTACACCCGGCGCTCGTGGCCTCCTTGTTCGCTACTGACTAACCCGTCACTCGCGTACGCGCACCTGCCCCCGGTATGACCGTTGGTGGCAGCGGCGGCGGCGGCGTCACTGACGCTGATCGAACCGCGTTTCTTCTTATAAATTTAAATCAAGTTTTGCATATTGTAGAACACGTTCTTACGTTGTTCATCACCCCCTCCCCCCTTTTTTTCGGACTTTTTTTCTGCCAAAAAAATCCAATCACTAATATAATCCAAGTCAGGCACTTATAAACTATCTCTATACAAATCTGTGATCACTTCAAGTACAATATTTTACCAAATCGGATTTGACATGATTAACTTTACTTTAGGACATATGTTTATCTCTACCCTACAACAAACTTTCTTATGAACTTAAAATATTTATACATTTACAACAAAATTGATTCTCCAAAAATACTGTAATAAATACAAATTTCAGTTTAGCTAACCATAAATACAACTTAAATAATCATTTCTCTAATTTTTCGCTATACAACATAAATGT